TTGTGAGCACTACGCTCCTTTCTTCCCTGACTCAGTCAGGAAGATGTCCCGCTCTCTCCGCGTATGGTTTTTGACACTGGATTGGGTCGGGGTGTATGTGCATCTATAGATACACTATCCGATTGTTTTCAGTGGTTCACAAACGGTGCCCCCATTGCATCGTGGGCCTCATTTTCGGATCGGCGCTGTGTTCTCGTCGTTTAGAATGGCGCTCCCGCCCAGCGCGGGCCACTTTTCTGGATCCGAATCCTTCCTCACCGCTTTCGCCCCCCCCTCTTTCCCCTTCTGTACCTTCCTCTCGTTCTCCTGCTCCTTCTGCTCCTTCCACTCCAGTTCTGGCTGCCGCTGTTCGTCCTCGTCCTCCTTCTGCGTCCTCGGTCTCAAATTTTTCCTCCTGCTCAGCTCCCCCTTTCGGATTGCACAGGGTCTTCTTGTTGGGAGTTCTAGGTCCACTATGACGCGCGTCCGCGGGTAGACAATAATCAGAGCAATGGGAAGGGTTCGATGGGAACGATAGGATGTCAGATAAGACGCGAGCGCACCTAGCTTGCCTCTCTCCTCACTCCTTTCTCCTCCTCTCGGCGCGCTCGGATTCGATTTGGTCGTTTCTCCTCCTCCCTCTCCTTCTTCCTCTCCCTGCCCCTTCTCATCCCCACTGCCCCCCGCTCCCTCGGGGCACGCGCAGGCGCTGCCGGAGCCGCATCAAGAGGACACCCCGCTGGGCGACGTGACCAACACGAGGTGCGCGCCACGCCTGGACGGCCCTGGCCGGAGCGGCGGCTCCTGCTGCTGATCCGCCGCATCCGCACCCTGGGCGATGTGCCTCCTCCTCCTCCTCCTCGTCCTTCTCCTGCTCCTGCTCCTCTGCCTCCTCCTCGTTGCCCCAGCTGGTGGAGCGTTCTCCAGCGTCACAGGAGCCACTGGCACGCTGTCTTGACGACGGCCCAAGGTTTGGGCTGTGTCTCCCAGGTTCGGCTGGTGTGGCATTACGGCGTTACCCGAGTTTTTGTTCTTTCAAGACGAACGCTTGATCTGCCCGGGGCAGCGTCATTAGGCTGGACCAAATAGGCTGGACTCCGACATCAAACCCAGAAAGCTCGCGAGACCCGAAGCGTCTCTGGGAGCTTGCAGGTCTGCCTTTGAGAGAGATGAAGGACAGGATGCCCGAGCCTCCCTGGCCTGTTGTGCTGTTCTGTGTTGCCCGCCATCTCAAGGGCGAGCCGTATCGTCTCGTATCCCACCTCGCCCCTCATCCCTCCCTCCCTCCCCCATTCCCCCCAACCTGCCCTGGCCCCTGCACTTTTCCCCCCCGCCTGCCCCTCCGCCCCCTCCCCGCTGTCCCGTGCTCCCGCCTCATCGACATTGGCTTACTGCTCCCCCTACCCCTTCCATTCCCCCTCGTCGTCGTCGTCGCTGTCGTCGTCCTCCCCTTCCTCCCCTTCCTTCTCGCACCCATCCTCCTCCCAGATTGCGCTATCGGCGACCACAGGCAGAGCAACGAGCCCCTTACCATCCCCCAGACATATTTTTCACGGTAAAGTGGGCCATTCCCCTGTAAATTGATACACTCCCCGGTTGTAGGTTTAGACGCTGCACGATCTTCCGAAGTTTCTGCTATCTTCCAGTGAGCTTTCTGGCAGCTTCCAAAGGGCTCCTTGGCAGCTTATAGCGAACCCCTTCCCAGCCCCATGAGAACCTTTTTAGGAAAATCCTTCGGGAATCCAGGGAATCCTTCAGGAATCCTTCAGGAATCTCGCAGGAGTCCCTCAGGATCCAGGGTCTGGGGGGCGATTTCGGCCTGCCGTTGTCTCCACTCGCCCTTCTCCAACCGCCCTTCTCCGACACCGCCACAGCCACCACCCAAACACACGCCTGCCGACGTGTGCCCCAAGCAGTGGAAGCACAGGGTATGTTGTACCAGCAGTGCTGCTTTCCCACGTATATAGCCGTCATAACCCCGTGCAGCGCGAGTGAGACACCCCGGGGCAGACGTCGCTTCGAGAAGTCGAGACCCATACATCCAGAATTCCATGGCAGTTCGAGCATCCCCAACAGCCCATCCAGAGACGATGCCCGCGCGAGGCCCCTTTATTCAGGAGGGAAAGAAACACACAGACACAATTAATCGTCGACTCCCAGGAAAATATACAAACATATGGGAAGTGGTGTTGAAGACAAAAACCCAGAAAATATGGGAAAATATGGGGGATATTTTTATTTGTGTGTATTTATTTGTGTGTTCCAGTTCCCCTTCATTTATCACGGAAGCGCCGCCTCCCATTTTTGTTGTTTCTTTTTCTGTCTTGCGCGTTTGACCGCCGGTTCGGTTTCACCCTGGGCGCCCGGGGTCCGAAACGGGCTTCCAGGGGCCAGCGAACGAAACGGACCTCCAGGGGCCAGAGGACAATATCGTCGTCATCGTCGTGGTCGTCGTCCGTTCTTCGTCGTCGTCGTCGTGCGGCTCGTCGTCAGTCGACAGTGGTCGGTCGCCAGTCGCTGTCAGTCGTCAGTGGTCCGCGGTCAATCGTCGTCGTCGTGCTGTTTCACGCGTGCGCCGCCGCCCGAAGGCTTATACGTTCGTGTACGTTTTGGACACGTTTTTACGGAGTGTATGCCTGTGATACAGGTTGCGTCTACGTTTCGTATATGTTCCGTATGCTGTTTGTGCTGTAGTTGTTCAATTGTCTACGAATCGTATGTTTGTCGTGCATTCTTGGGGAAACATAGTGTATGCTTCTTGTACACATGCCGGGTAGATATCGGACACGTGCTGTGCACGTTTTGTAAACGTTTCGCACATGTTTTGTCTACGTTTAGGTCGCGTGCTGTACACGTTTCGTGAACGTGATGTATGCGCTTCTTATGCGTTCTGCGTGTGTTCCATGCGCGTTTCACATATGTTCTGTACATTTGTAGTATACGACGTTTATACGCTTGTGTACGTTCTATGCATGTTTCATATGCGGTCTGTCTACGTTGCGTATTCGTTTCGCGCGCGTTTTGTACACGTTTCGTAGACTTTCCGTTTACGGTTTGTGTAGGTGTAGGTGTTATCTACGCTGCGTAGACGTTTCATGCACGTTGAATATACACATCATGTACGTCGTACTTTACGTGTACGTCTCGCAAAATGTGTCGTATTACGTTTAACGCATGTCGTTTATTCGTCGTGCGCAGCTGCGTATATGTTTCGATCGCGTTTTCCGTTTAAGAGTCGGATGTGTTTTTGGTTCGCACACGTTTTATATACGTTGTCTACACAACTCCCGCACGTTTTCGATACGCTGCTCATGCGGCCCATCGAGGTTTCATATACGTCCCGTATGCGCCCTGTGTGCGCTGCCCCATCGTTTCATGTACTTCCGTATAGGCTTCAGATACATTGCGTATACGTTTCGTACACGTGTCATACACGTGCACGGTGTGTACACAGTTGTATGCGTTTCATGAGCGTTTCGTTAACGTATCAAATGCGTTTCGGGTGCGCCTCGTTCACGTGGGATCTACGTTGCGTATTCGTTTCTTACACGTGGCGTTCGTTTTATATGTGTTCATGCTGCTACATGTCCCACTGCTACTACTACCACTGCAACGCGCACCGACAGATACATTCCCCGGTGTGCTTTCGGATACTGAACGATTGTGCAGCTGCCTACCAGTTTGGGTCTCAGACCTTTGCAGGACGACTCCGTCCGAAGCATCTGCCAGCGGAGCGCCCGCGAACTGGCACATTCCCCTCGGTGCCACGGGGGAGTGCACCAGTCTGCCGGGGTGTTTACCAGTTCACCGGGGCATGGACTAAGGAGCCCTCCCCAGCCCCTTCCCCCCCGTCCCGCCATTACCCCCCCCCGCTCGCTCCTCCTGCCCCCCCGGCCGTGCTCTCGCTGCAAGACTCCTCCTCCTCTTGACACCCTGCTGTGCCGGCTCGGTGAGCTCTCCCCCCCTCCCCTCCCCCAGCGGGCCCAGCCTTAAGTCGGGCCTGTCCCTCTACAGGGGGGAAATTCAAGAATAGTCAAAAAATAATAAGGGGACGATTGCTTGAATATTTTTTGATCATTTGGGGATATCTTTAGACTTTTTTGTTCGTCCAAAATCCCCCTTGTAGGGGGACATGCCCGACCTAAGCCCAGCCCTCGCGCGCCCGCGCCCTCGCGCGCCTCGGACGGCGCCATCTGCGCCCGCGCCCGCGCCGATCCTGGCCAGGCCGATCTTGGGCCCGGGGTCGCCGTGCGTGCCCCGGCCTCGCCCGGGCCCAGGCTGAGGCCTGGCCGGGACCGGGGCATCCCGAGATCGGACCTCGGGGAACACTGCGGCACCGTGAAGAACCACGGCCGGAGCCCCACAGTCGGCCCAGATTAGCAGGTCGACCCTGCCAAATCAAGGGTACCTTTGTGTCCCGTGTCTCGCGACCCATGCCTCCTGCATTCCTATTGCAATGTGGCCCTCGGACGGGGCTTGTGTCCTCTCGCGTGTCCTATCCAATCGAGTCCGACTGTATACACCCCAGCTTTCTGCTGCATTTTCCGAGCCAGACCGGCCTGTGATGGCCCTGGGGCCGGACACAAGGCGAAAGCGCCCGGTGTGGAAAGGGCCTTCCCCCCCCGGATCTCAGTCAGGGTAGGTGCGCAGTTGGCGCTCTCCCCCGCACATCGGGCGCCTCGATTTTTTTGAGGCGACCCCGGGACCCCTCGGCCATTTCCCCGGGACTTTTTTTTTGTTGTGTGTGTGTGTTTTTTCCTCCTCCCGAGCCGCTTCTTGCTGGCCCCGAGGGAGGCCCAGCCTCCAGGGCCGCGAGAGGTCGAAGACGATGGAGCCTGCTTTTCTTTAGATTCGGGCAAGTTTATTTGCATGGCGTTCGCCGCTCTTGAATCGAATACGGGCGTGCAAGTGCCTTTCGACTTGCGTGGTCTCCGTACGTCAAGTCGTTCGCAACTTGCTTCAGGCTCAGCCCCCCCCCTGTCCATGCGAGAAAACATGCCAGAATCTAAAACAACAGGCTCATGCAACACCTCCGCCGCGATCTTGTCGAGACGCCGGGCGTCTGGGTCCTGCAGCCGCCCATGGCGGGTTCCGCAGGGCCGGCGCCGCGCGCCGCCGGCAGCTTCGGGGGCGGTTCCGGCAGCGCCCGCGCCCGCGGGGCGCGCTGGGCGGACCTGGACGACACCCCCGCGGCGGGCTCCGCGGCCGCGGATGGCGCAGCGGCGCAGGCCGCCAGCTGCCGCCGTTCGCCTCGCTTGCGTCGTCCCCAGACCTCCTCGCCTTGTGAAAAAGTTGCGACGGGAAACCTTTTGCTAATTTCGGCCTCCGGGACCCTTCCCGGGCTTCGGGACCGTCACCAACCGACTCAGGATGAAAGAGCGGTCCCCGGGAAGGGGTCCAGACCTGTGGGGGTCGACTTAAGTCGGGCCTGTCCCCCTACAGGGGGACAATTTAAAAGATGATTAAACATTAGTCTGGGGGCATTTTTTAAACATGTTTTTCGAATTAAGGGGGCATTTGGGGGGCATTTTTTTGGTTTTTAGTATTTTTTGATTTTTCCGCCCAAAATCCCCCTGTAGGGGGACACGCCCGACTGAAGGGTCGACGTTGTGAGCAAAAACACGACGTCGGGGGTCTGCGTCTATAGGGGCCACGGCGCGGGGGGCCCGCCGGGGCCCTCCGCGGGCCCAGCAGTGGGGCCTGCGAGGCTGCCGCAGCCGTCCTCGATCCTCCTCCGCCGGCGTTCGAAGAAGTTACCCTGGCGGCGTACCCAGCCCATCAGGAACTCGGGGGTCCGAGCTCGGCCAAATCCAGAACCCCTTCCCGTCAGGACCTGTTCCCCTCCCTCCTCATCCTCCTCCTCCTCGCCCTCCTCGCCCTCCTCCTCCTTCTCCTCTTACTCCTCCTCCTCCTCCTCCTCCTCCTCCTCCTCCTCCTCCTCCTCCTCCTCCTCCTCCTCCTCCTCTGGGGGGGGGGGGCTATCCTGCTTTCCGCCCCGCCACCGGTGCGGGGCATAAGTACATCAGGATTGCTACAACGGGGGCGATGACGTAACATGGACGCCTGTGACTTTGCAAGCAGCATATCGGAAGGCTCACAGGCCCCCGATCAAGATGTAAGGGCGTCGTAGTGGTTACTAACGCAGCCCCCCCCAGGGACGGCGAGGTCTCGCTCAGGTCCCCGCGGTGCTTCACTCCGCTGGACCCAACAGCAGCCCTCGAAAATGACGACAGTGTCGCAGATCGTAGCCCCCCAGGGACGGCGAGGTCTCGCTCAGGTCCCCGCGGTGCCTCACTCCGCTGGCCCCACCAGCAGCCTTCGAAAGTGGCGACAGTGTCGCAGATCGCAGCCCCCCAGGGACGGCGAAGTCTTGCTCAGATCCCCGCGGTGCCTCAGTCCGCAGGACCCACCAGCAGCCCCCGAAAGTGGCGACAGTGTCGTGGATCGCAGCCCCCCAGGGACGGCGAGGTCTCGCTCAGATCCCCGCGGTGCCTCAGTCCGCAGGACCCAGCAGCAGCCCTCGGAAGTGGCGACAGTGTCGCAGATCGCAGCCCCCCCAGGGACGGCGAGGTCTACCTCAGATCCCCGTGGCGCCTCACTCCGCTGGACCCACCAGCAGCCCTCGAAAGCGCCAACAGTGTCGCAGATCGCAGCCCCCCAGGGACGGCGAGGTCTACCTCAGATCCCTGCGGTGCCTCAGTCCGCAGGACCCACCAGCAGCCCTCGAAAGTGGCGACAGTGTCTAGATCGCAGCCCCCCAGGGACGGCGAGGTCTACCTCAGATCCCCGCGGTGCCTCAGTCCGCAGGACCCACCAGCAGCCCTCGGAAGTGGCGACAGTGTCGCAGATCGCAGCCCCCCAGGGACGGCGAGGTCTACCTCAGATCCCCGCGGTGCTCCACTCCGCAGGACCCACCAGCAGCCCTCGGAAGTGGCGACAGTGTCGCAGATCGAAGCCCCCCAGGGACGGCGAGGTCTACCTCAGATCCCCGCTGTGCCTCACTCCGCTAGACCCACCAGCAGCCCTCGAAAGCGCCAACAGTGTCGCAGATCGCAGCCCCCCAGAGACGGCGAGGTCTACCGAAGATCCCCGCGGTGCCCCACTCCGCTGGACCCACCAGCAGCCCTCGAAAGTGGCGACAGTGTCGCAGATCGCAGCCCCCCAGGGACGGCGAGGTCTCGCTCAGATGGTGCCTCACTCCGCTGGACCCACCAGCAGCCCTCGAAAGTGGCGACAGTGTCGCGGATCGCAGCCCCCCAGGGACGGCGAGGTCTACACCAGATCCCCGCGGTGCTTCAGTCCACAGGACCCACCAGCAGCCCTCGGAAGTGGCGACAGTTTCGCAGATCGCAGCCCCCCCGGGGTCGGCGAGGTCAGGCTCAGATCCCCGCGGTGCCTCAGTCCGCAGGACCCACCAGCAGCCCTCGAAAGTGGCGACAGTGTCGCAGATCGCAGCCCCCCAGGGACGGCGAGGTCTACCTCAGATCCCCGCGGTGCCTCACTCCGCTGGACCGACCAGCAGCCCTCGAAAGTGGCGACAGTGTCGCAGATCGCAGCCCCCCAGGGACGGCGAGGTCTACCTCAGATCCCCGCGGTGCCTCACTCCGCTGGACCCACCAGCAGCCCTCGAAAGTGGCGACAGTGTCGCAGATCGCAGCCACCCAGCGACGGCGAAGAGAGGGCAGGAGGCGAGAGGAGGCGGGAGGCGGGAGGAGGAGGAGGAGGAGGAGGAGGGACGCGACCACAGTGCTCTATTCAAAAGGAATACCCAACCAAGGAGGGTTGGGAAAAACACACAACATAAACTTTTGGCGCTCTGCGCGGATTTCTTGGATCGGGGCTGGGCCCCCCTGGCGGCACCTCCGGCGCCGCCCCTAGCGCACTCCGGGCTCTGTCGCGGACTCAATAAATCCTCCGGAGCGCCAGAAGTTAATGTTTATGTTTTTTTTTCTTCTTCTATGCGTGCTCCTCCTGCGTCCTTCCCCCACCCGGTTCCTGCTTGCTCCGGATCGTGCAAGAAGCCCTCCCGCCGCCAAGCCCGACGGCCTGTTCCGCCCCCCCCCAGTTCACTGGCAACATTAGGAGGTCGTGGGCCTGGGGGGGAGATGCATCGACCCCCAATCGCCCACTCATCGCCGATAGGGGCCTCATAGCCCACTTCGCCCAGGGACGTGCCGGTTCGGTATCGTGGGCCTATCGCCGATCTATTGGCGATGTATCGCCGATGCCAGCTCGATGTTTCCGCCGTCATCAGCCTCCTCCCCAGGCCTCCAAAAAATCAAGGCCAGACATCCGGCCTCTCGAACAAATCAAGGTGGAGTTTTTTCATAATTTTCGACCTCTCTGGGCCCTGACCGGGGCTCGGGACCGTCAGCAAAACTCGGGATGAACAACCAGTCTTTATGAAGTGGTCGAGAGGTCGGGGGCCTGCGTCTCGAAGAAACCGAGGCGCCAGATGTCTGGGAGGCGGAGGTCTTTGGTTTGGCTGTTTTCGGCCTCCCCATGGGGCCCTCGCCGGGCTCCGGGACCGTCACAAAACGACTAAGGATGGAAAGCGTCCGGGGTCTAGACCTCTGTCAGGAGGAAAAACAGGTCGTCGTCATCTTCGTCGTCCTCGTCGTCGTCGTCGCCGTCGTCGTTGTCTTCGTCGTCGTCGTTGTTGTCGTCGTCGTCGTTCATTGTCGCCGTCGTCGTCGCCATCGTTGTCGTCGCCGTCGTCGTCGTCGTCGACGTCGTCGGTGTCGTCACTCCCACGGTGTTGTATGGCTCCCCTACGTGGACGTTGACAGAGCCGCTCAAGCAACAGCCCCGCGGGACTGAAAATAGAATGCTTCGCATGATTTCGAATACGCCACGGCGACGTCTACGACGAGGTCGCCGTATTTCCAGCGCCGGCACTTCGTTCTATCGAAGTTCTTGCGGTGGTTTATTCACTATCGAATCCAAGCACGGCCGCTGCAGATCAATCGAGCACAACCGACGACTCTTACATCGACAGCAATCCACCACAACTCCGAGCCCCCTTGCCAAGCCACGGCGATAGCGACAGCGATGGGGACAGCGAGGAGCCTCGTATCGATTTCGTTCTACGGTCGACACATCGTGCAGGGCACCTCATGCGGCTGCACGACTTCAAGGATCGGGTGACTGAGCAGTGCCGGTTACGCTGGAGGCTCGCGGCGAAGGTGGCAGCACGCACCGTGACAAGATGGACGCAAATAATGTTGCAGTGGCACCCCAGCCACACGGCAAATAAAGCTGAGTATTGCAACCACGGTGGTCAACGTAAACGGTGGGACGACGAGATCCAGACGTTTCTGGGCAAGTATATGTGTGTGTGTGAAGACACACTGCCGGGACATCAGCAGAGAGGACATGGCGATATCACGTGTGGGTCAACACTGCGAAGCAAAGTGCGACATGGCAGAGTACGGAGATCCAATGCGTGAGTGCGACGTGAAGAGTGCGCGCGCATGGCCTCACATGTTCTTCACAGGGGCTACGGCCTGACTCCTCCCGCCCAAACGGGCGCGGCCCTACGACCAGTCGGGCCGGGTGGACGCTCGCTCGCTCGTTCCTGCTGCTCCTTCTCGTGCTCCTCCCCCTACTCCTCGTCGTCCCTGTCCTCCTCCTCCTCCTCGTCATCTTTTCCTTCTCGTTCTCCTCGTCCTCCTCCTCGTTCTCCTCCGTGTCCTCCCCCTGCTCCTCCTCGTCCTCGTCCTCGTCCTTCTCCTCGCCCTCCTCGCCCTCCTCCTCCTTCTGCTCCTCCTTTTCGTCATCCTTCTCATCCTCCTCCCCCATCTCTTTCTCCTCTAATTCGTGCTCCTTGCCCCCCTTCTCCTCACCAGAATTTGCCATCCTCCTTTATCCCCTTGATCTCTCTTTCCCCTGTTTACAAATCCTCCCTCCCCTCTTTCCAAAGATAACGGCCAATTGTTCCACTGCATGGCCCCCCACTTCCCTGATCAAGGGAACCTTCTTGGGCATCGTTATTGGATGGGCTGGGTGAGGATGCGCGGAGCTTGATGAATCCACGGAAGCAGAGCTACGGGACCACGAAAATGCACACATGGCCAATGCCCCGTATGCAGGATGCGCCGCCGTGCTTGTACGGCAATGGGGTGTTAGAATGCCTGTGGAGTTTCTGATAGCGTTCTTGGGCGCTCCCCCCCGCAAGGTCGATGGTCGCCCCGAAGCCTTCCTCGTGGGCGCCTTGAGGCACGCTCCCCTGAGCCCCTAGGCCTGGGCACGGCGGCGAAATTGCCAGAGGCAGTTGTAAACGAAACCAATGTAATTGCCTTCGAGGGCCCGGCCGCACTTCAAGAGGTCCCGGGAACACCGAATAATGATTGCCTTCGAGGGCCCAACTGCACCCCAAGAGGTCCCGGGAACCCCCCGAAGCGGAAGAGGACGCATGATGCTTGGAGAATGAGGAAGGAGAAAGGGCGAGGAAGGAACGAACTGAACGTGCAGATTCAACGAAGGGTGGATCGCGTATGGGACGCGGAAAGTGCGCGCGATTGAACGCAGCCCGCCGCAGGCACCAATTTCCCGAAGTAGGCTTGCCTAAGGGGTTCTTACTTATTTAAACGTTGGTGCCTCGGGGGGCTACTTTGCCCGTTGCTCGTGGGTTCCTCGGGTTCCTCGGGCTCCTCGGGCTCATCGGGCAATGCTAAGCAATGCCCAGCAATGCCCAGCAATGCCACGCAATGCCAAGCAATACCTATCACGACCAAGCAATGCCAAGCAATGCCAAGCATTGCCTATCAAGGCCAAGCAATGCCAAGCAATGCCCAGCAATGTCGACCCATGCCAAGCAATGCCCAGCAATGCCGACCCATGCCACGCATTGCCGCGCAATGCCAAGCAATGCCAAGCATTGCCAAGCATTGCCTATCAAGGCAAAGCAATGTCAAACAATGCCAATCAATGCCGACCCATGCCAAGAAATGCCAAGCCATGCCAAGCCATTCTACGCAATGCCGACCCATGCAAAGAAATGCCAAGCAATGCCAGGCAATGCTACGCAATGCCAAGCAATACCAGGCAATGCCAAGCAATGCCAAGCAACGCCAAGCATCGCCAAGCAATGCCAAGCATTGCCTATCAAGGCCAAGCAATGCCAAACACTGCCAAGCAATGCCGACCCATGCCAAGAAATGCCAAGCAATGCCAGGCAATGCCACGCAATGCCAAGCAATAACAGGCAATGCCAAGCAATGCCAAGCAATGCCAAGCAATGCCAAGCAATGACAGGCCATGCAGAGCAATGCCAAGCAATGCCAAGCAATGCCAAGCAATGCCAAGCGATGTGCTTTGCGATGCGCCCATGCAATATGCTTTCCCGTAATTGATGTCGCGCCGATGGTTGATGGTGTGGGTCGTGGGTGGGACGCGAGGTGGGTCGCGGGCTGGGTCGGGGAGTGTGTCGCGAGTGGGTCGCAGGTGGGTCGCGAAATAGGTCGCGGGTGAACCGCGGATGGGTCGCGGGTGGGTCGCGAGCTGGTCGCGGGATAGGTCGCTGGATCAGTCGCGCGATGAGTTCCGCGGTGGGTCGGGGGTGGGTCGTGGGGTGGGTCGCGGGTGGTTCGTGGGGCGCGTCGCGGGTGGGTCGCAGGTGGGTCGCGGGTGAGTCGCGGGTGGGTCGCGGGGTGGGTCGCGGATGGGTCGCGGGTGGGTCGCGGGTGGGTCGCGGGTGGGTCGCGGGTGGGTCGCGGGGTCGGGTTCGGATGGGACGACGACAGCAACAACGACAACATCAACAACAAGCAGAGTCCGCGCCGATGAATCCCACTTCAGCCGCGCACCCAGGGACAAGTCCGTCCTGCCCCAGCAGCGACGAGTCATCGCTACTGTAGGAATCTGGTGAGGGGAAGGGGGGACTCATCATGTTCATCCTTTTCACCATCAGCAACTTTACCATGATGCTGATCATAATCATCACCATGTCTATGACCAGCCTGGTGACCATCACCATCGCTTTGGCGGTCACCAGCAGTAGACGTGACGTGGCCATGGACGCGACGGAGATGACAATCAACAATGTGCAGGTGGTAAATACCCGAACGCGCCTCACCGAACGCGCATCCAGTCCCATCTGCCCCACATGACGCCCATTCAAAAAGCCAAGAAACTCTATTCCCACCGGAGCACGACAATGGTGATGTTACTTATGATGACTTGAGGATTTTGTGGATAATGCCAATGAGCTCGGTGATTATGCGTGTCATAGAGATGCTGATCATGCTTTTGTTGATGATGGCGTTGGAGATGCTGGTCAGGATGCGGATGTTGAGGGTAACGATGATATTGCTGATGGTGATGATGGTGCTGAAGATCATGAGGATGACGATGATGATGATGCTCATGATGTTGCTTGTGGTGGTCGCGATGATGATGCTGATGATGATGATGGTTCTGATGCTGATGATGGTGTTGACGATGACGACGATGTTGGTGACGATATTGATGATGATGCTGATGATGATGTGGATTATGTTGGTGATGGTGATGGTGAAGTTGATGCCGATGATGATAATGGTCATGCTGATGATGTTGTTGATGATGGTGATTCTGCTGATGATGACGCCGATGGTGATGGTGATGATGGTGATGATGATGGTGATTACCAAACCGATTATGGTGGCGATGGTGATGTTGATCAAACTGGCGGTGCTGATGACGTTGATGCGCACGATGATTGTGACGCTGACGATGCTGATGATTATGCTGCTGATGATTCTGCTTTGATGCTGATGCTGCTGCTGCTGATGACAATAATGACGAGGACTATGCTGCTGCTGAGGATGATGCTGCTGCTGCTGCTGCTGATGATGATGATGATGATGATGATGATGATGCTGATGATGATAATGACGATGATGACGACGATGATAACGAAGCTGCTGACGATGACGAGTATGATTATGATGCTGCTGCTGATGATGATGACGACGATGCTGCTACTGCTGACGATGCTGCTGCTGATGTTGATGTCGAGGATGATGAGGAGGGTGATGATGGTTAGGCTGGCTGTGTTGACGATGGTGACTAGTTCGGTCGGATTATATGACAGTGAAGTTGGTGGTAGTGGTGAAGATGTTGAGGAGGAGGAGGAGGCGGAGGAAGAGGAGGAGGAGGAGGAGGAGGAGGAGGAGGAGGAGGAGGAGGACCAGCAAGGATGATTCCAGGGACGATCTTAGAACACCCCAGTATCCCGTAGAGCACCCTAAACCGTCGATGGTCGCATCATCCCCGTCGATCTTTCGACTGCCACGCGCCCAGCTCGGCTGGGCGCTTCCCTCCCCCTCCCTCCCTCCCACCCGCTCTTCCTCCCTCCCTCCCGCTGCGGACACGTCCTCCGGCCCACTTTGATCGGGGGCCGGCGCAAACCCCCTAATTAACCCAGGAACGGTTCACCGCTCGGCGGTGGCTGGCCCCAGGGAGGAGGGAGTGCGCCAGCCGGGGCCTACAGAAAGCACACAAGGGAGGCTCTGGATCGCCTCCAGCCCATCGTAGGCGTCCCTGTCGAGCGCCGCGCTCCCGCTCAATGCCGCAGGCTTCGCTGGTGGGGGGCACCAGGGGCGTCCCTGTCTCCCTCCCTTCCACCCCCCCGCTCGTTCGATTCCCCTCCCCCTCCTCCCCCACCCCTCCTCCCCCCCCTCCCTCCCTCCCGCCCTCGCCCTCTCCCTCCCCCCCTCCCTGGTTCGATCCCCCTCCCCCTCCTCCCCCATCCCTCCTCCCCTCCCCCCCCCTCCAGCCAGGTGTCCGTGCAGCAACCCAACACCGCGTGCGGCGGCGCGGGCGGCGGAAAGCCCTGGGGACCTCGGGGGGCTTTGGGGAGGGAGGTCGGGCAAGGTTTCGGGGGAGAAGTGGGGGAGAGGGAGGGGATGGGAGGGGAAGGGGAAGTAAACCCTCCCTCCAAGCTCCCTCTTCATAGGCCCCTACAGCGGTGCATTTCCACTGAGGGAACTGCCTCGTTGGAAGACAACCGTTTCAAGACCCTGAAGCATGCCAAAACATTGTTCTCGGGATTCCAACTCCAGGAATCAACCTGACTGCTGCGACTTGACGATCCCGAATCGTGCCCGAACGCCATTCCTGGGATTTCAACACCGCGAATCAACGTACCTGTTGCACCCTCGTAATCCTGAGTCTTTCCGAAACACCAGTTCTGGTATGCTGATCATGAAAATCCGTGAAGCTCTTGCACATGGTTAAAACGAACGTGCGCGTCGTTATGGCGAGAGGCACATTTTGAAACGGAACCGCCCTCAATCCGTGAAGCTCTGGGAAATTCTAGATATCTGCGGCGCTAAGGCGAGATCCACACTTTGAAAACCATCCGCCCTCAAACCGTGAAACCCTTGCAAGTTTTTCAATCGAATGTGCGCGGCGCTGAGGCGAGAGCCACATTTTGAAAATCACCCGCCCTGAATTTGTGAAGCTCTTGCAAGTGTTTTGATCGAATGTGCGCGGCGCTGAGGCGAGAACCACATTTTGAAAACCACCCGCCCTCTATCCGTGCAGCTCTTGCAAGAGTTTAAAACGAATGTGCGCGGCGCTAAAGAAAGAGAGAGAGAGAGCCACATTTTGAAAGCCATCCGCCCTCCATCTGTGAAGCTGATACCCCAATTCCAGGGTGGTCAATGGTGAGGAAGTCTCAGGCGAAACTCCCGGCCCGCCCTAACCTGGCCCCGGGGTGCGACAGGGAAAAGTGACTTATAAGGAAAAGGAATGGAGGAGGAGAAGGAGGAGGAGGACTAGGAGGAGGAAAATTAGGGAGGGGGGGGGATGCGGAAAGCACAGCCTGCAGGCTCGTCTGAAGAGTCTCGTCTCCGCGTGGGGCCCAATACATGTCGGGGCTGTTGGACGTTGCTGCCTAGCGCGTCCTGTCGATTTCTTTCCAGTCGAGATCTGGCTCAAGTAGGCCATGGCAGCGCATCTCGAGGTGCTGCTGCTGCTGCTGCTGCTCTGCAGTCTGGGTGGCCGCGGAAGGGTCGACCTCGTTAATCCCTCTTCGCGTGCTTTCTTTCCCGTTTTGTGCCGCAGCGGGCTCCTGCCCCCCCCTCCTTCCTTTCCTTTCTTGCCCCTCCCTTTCCTCGGCCTTTCGTTCTGGCCGCTCACCAAGCAGTGGCTTTTCGCGGTATTTTTCGTGACTCTACTCTGGCCGGTGCACCTTTCCAGATACGCTTGGCATCGACCTTCACGGAACTTCTTTGAGGTCGTTGTTCATAGAGGTTGTCGTGGGAGCGAAATTATTTGTCCCAGTACGGGTTGTTTCTACAGTAGCTGTAAAACAGTTTCTTGGTCCAGTGAGGTCCCTACCAGGTCGCGTACATTCAGCGTCGCGGTGTCGGAAACATCTGCCTTCAGACAGGAGGCCAGACGGTTTGCGATACCTTGCTCCAGCCCTGGGATATTACACATACGGCGCGTATCGGGTTTGGGCCTCTGGCCTGAACAGTACCCTCCGTAGTTGAAACAGTGAACCCAGGGAGTACCAACCAATCTGCAGCAAGTACCCATCGATGACGAATGACGGTGTGAGAAGGCATGCGGCAACACGTGCAAATTAAGAGGACACTGTGGCGTTGTGCGCCCCATGGGGTCCATGCGGGGCAGTCATACATACACTCGTGAAATGTATGGGTAAGGGCAGGAGGACGGCTACATTGTATGTGCGGATACGAGGACGAGGATAAGACTCATAAAAAGGTGTGTCGTGCAACACAATTCGAAGCATGATGCGGTGACGACTACTCGTGTTCTGATACTTCGATCATGACTGACCGCTCCCAGGCTGTGGCTAACGGCCGACTTCGCAGTCTCTGTCTTACTCCGTCAAGCGCGAACATTCAGAGTCCGCGGGCTCGATTCAATTTCCGCTGGCGGCCCCCAGGAGAGAGAGAGAGAGATCGAAACCCGAATCACGGATTACGAACTGGTTTCCCGAGGTCGTGGCCTGCTGTCGGCGCCCCTGCAGCTGGCTTTGACGATGACTCCTTTGGGTATGGCTCGGTGTATAATGGGCAAAGTTTCCACCACCCTTACCATATGTAGGACGGGGGAGAAGGGAGGATGAGGAGGTCCTCTTCCTCCTCCTTCTTCTTCTTCTTCTCCTCCTCCTCCTCATCCTCATCCTCATCCTCCCTCTCCTACTATGGTAGTGGTGGTGGAAAATGGGCCCATCAGTCTAGTTTTCCTGCCCAGAGGTGGGCCGGACAACACAGCACCAGAGGCTACGCTGGACACCTCCCAGAGGGGGCAGCTACTTGGCGACTGCTGCGCGCCTGGCAGCACCTGGGTGGGGGGGGGGAGCGAGGTCTCACGTGGATCCGCGTAGGACGATTGACGAGTTTGGCGCGCTTCCGCACACAGCCGCCTCCCGGAGGCCAGGGCGTTTGGCCCACTTGTCGCCCTTCTTGGCTCGCATGGGGGCGACGGCAGACTCGGTCGTGCGTTCCGCTGGACCCCCCGGGGCACGGCAGCGTGGAGACAGTTGTGCGCCTGGCAGCACACCTGGGGAGGGCGAGGTTTCATGTATACCTCTAAGAACACCACTCCTCTAGACAACCCAGAGATGTGGCAAAGAGACGCGGGATATGCAAAGAGACAGAGAGAGAGAGAGAGAGAGAGAGAAGGAGAGAGAGAGAGAGTGCGAGAGAGAGGGATATCGAGTGATCGCGGTCATGATAATGATAAGGATCATGGGATACGTGTGTATATGCAGAGACATATAAAGGCGATACACAATGAGGAGAGGAGGAGGACGAAGATGAAGAAGAGGAGGAGTAGCAGGAGGAGGAGGAGGAGAAATACGAGGATGATGAGGAGGAGGAAGAGGAGGGGGAGGAGGAGGATGAATACGAGGAGGAGGAGGAATACGAGGAGGAGGAGGAGGAGGAGGAATACGATGATGATGATGATGATGATGATGATGATGATGATGATGATGATGATGATGATGATGATGATGATGATGATGATGATGATGATGATGATGATGATGATGATGATGATGATGATGATGATGATGATGATGATGATGATGATGGTGATGATGATGATGATGATGATGATGATGATGATGATGATGATGATGATGATGATGATGATGATGATGATGATGCTGATGATGCTGATGCTGATGCTGATGCTGATGCTGATGCTGATGCTGCTGCTGCTGATGATGATGATGATGATAATGATGATGATGCTGATGCTGATGATGATGATGAGGAGTAGGAGTAGGAGGAGGAGAAGGAGGAGGAGAAGGAGGAGGAGGAGGAGAAGGAAGAGGAGGAGGAGGATGAGGAGGATGAGCGAGAGGAGGGACAGGCAAGATGAGCAAAAGACGCGAGGAAGAGTGTGTGTGTGTGTGTGGGTGGGTGGGGGTGGGATTGGAGGAGTAACGCGCGCCGTATCCAAAACAAGGACCTCTCACAGTTTAGTTGACCACATGTTTGATTATTCGGTTACCTCTGGATGCGCGACCGCAGCACCGAAGGTCTACCTATCTTGCAAACCACTCCGCAATAGCGCCACCAAGTTTGGTCCCGAGGCAGTTCGATCTCACAGACGTCGCCAGAATCCGATCCAGCGGAAGACGTGGCTGTACCGCCTACGATCCTATTCGATGCGATTCGATTCGCCAGCCTGTGCCGCGATGTCGATTCAGTACGCTTCGGCTGCATCGCCCAGGGCTGGCTGGAGCTGGGCGCGGCGGTCCGATTTCGATCCGATTCGGGACTGTTCGCCGGCGATCCGATCCGTTTCCGATCTGATCCGGCTTCTCGGTTCGATCTAGCTCTGGCCTGCCTGGGGCTACGGTCGGGAACTTTTGGATAGCGTGTCTCTCCGCCAGTTCTGGCCCACCACGCTTCGCTTCGCGACACGCTATCCACTTCCCAGTCTCCAGGCTCCCGTCCTGAGCCGTTCCGAGCCTCCCGCCCAGTGGAGCGGAGCGACACGCTATCCGCTCGCAAGGCATAGCGTGTCGCCGGGGCTGCCGCCCCGACACGCTGATCAACAGTTTCCGACCTCAGGGCGTGACCCCAGTCATCATCTCCAGCCTCTTCCCCGCGGGTCTCGGGCTGGAGCGCCCCTGGCTCACCGCTGACCAAACCACCCCAACCCAACCCGAATGCCCCGATTGGCCCTCCATTTCCAGTGGGGGGGGGGTAGGGGAACATAGAAAAAACATATGAAGCCCGTTCCCCCCCAATACGACGTTCGGGTCTTCGGATTGGGTTGGGGTTGTCTGGTAGGTAGTCACTGGCGGGGCCGCTGCGGCGGCGCCACCCAGTCGCACATTGAGTCATGCTGGCGTCGCCACTGGGGACCGCAACCCGTGCGTGCCCGCTCGCTATTGGGCACAGCACGCTGCGCGTTGCAGGCTTTACTTATCATTACTTGCCAAACCGCCCCCTCCGTAGCCATTTTGGCTCAAGCTCAGGTCGAGCCGTGCCCGCACCCCCCCCCCTCGCAGAGCTGCGCTCGAGATGTGGGCGCCGGCCCTGCTCCTCCTGCTCCTCGCCGCGCCGGCCCCTGCGGGCGGCAGCGGCGGCGCGGGGGCCGCCTGCGCCGGGGGCGAGGAGGAGGAGGCGCACGCCCTGCTGCAGACTGCCCGGCAGAGCGGTGGAGCCGGCGCAGACGTGGCTGCCACTGGCGACCCCCACCTTCTTGCTAGCTCCGGCCTTGGGCAGGGTCGGGCTGAGCTCGCATGGCTGACGGGGGGCTGGGAGGGGACTCGCGCCGATCGCCCGCGAAGCAGGTCGGCGCGAGAGCCAAAAACGCGTAGCGCGCGGGGAGGGGGCCCAGCCCCTCTCGTCGGTCAGAACGTTCTTGGCCAGCGGTTCGACTTGATGATCTGATTACCACGAACGCCAACGGCATTTTCGACTGCGAGTCAAAGCAGCCGAGCCTTAGTCTTCTTTCCACACCGTGTCGTGGCCCCCGCTCTGTCTACAGTGATGATTGCCGTTTGGGGGATGACTTCAGGGACAAATGTGAAGCATGCATGTGCGCCCGCCTTGACGCGACGTTGTGGTGCAACCGCGACCAGGACCCGTTCTCAGGCTGCAATCACGACGGCCAGTGTGGTACAAACAGCGGGTGCTTCAAATTATTGCCTTCTCTTTCACCATGTGCAGAGGACCAGCAATGCGACATAATGCGGAAAAATAATATTTTTCTTGTTTGCCGCAATGAATTCTGCCGCATTAGATTCTGATGGTAGCGCGAAGTCGTCAAGCGTCGCTTCCTCTCGTCTTGCAATGTCTGGTCTCCGCAGCGCGGCGTTCAGGGCAGCTTACCTTTCGTCTGTAACCTTCGTTTCGGATGCAATATCTTATGATAGCACTCAGCGCAGCTTACCTTACGGTTGTCCTACTTTCAGATGCAAGTGACCGGGCTCCGGCCCGCCCGCGCCGCCCCTGAGGGGCCTGCCAGCCCGCCGGCGGGCGGACTCGCGCGTCTGCGTCAGCGTCCGCGTTATCACAACCTGCAAAGTCGGGCCGGAGACCGTGAGCATCGTTCAATGGCAGCGCGAAGCAGCCAAGCAGCATCAGTCGCTTCCTCTCGTCTTGCAACGTCTGGGGTGCTGCTCTTTCCTGCCTGTCCTCCTCCTCCTCCTCCTCCTCCTTCCACATGAAGACCTGGTCAGCTCCCCGCCGGGCGTTTTCCCACAATCGGGGAAGCATGCGAGACCGTCTGGGAGTTATCGGTTAAGCTCTCACCACAGTTTTGAAGACCTGGTCAGCTCCCCGCCAGGCGTAATCGGGGAAGCATGCGAGACCTTCTGAGAGTTATCGGTTGAACTCTCAGCATTCGTGAAAAACTACTTGCCAAACCACCCCGACCCAACCCGAATGCGCCCTCCCGAATTTTGGGTTGGGTGGTGAACGGGCTCCATCGTGTTTCCTCAATGTTATGCAGTGCCCCCCCCACCAGCAATTGACGAGCCCAGCGGTGACTTCGGGTTGGGGTGGCGTTGTTTGGTAGGTCGTCATTTGACAGGAAGCTTACACCGAACGCGCCTGCTTACTACGTGCGCACATCGTGCTGCCAGCGCAACCAGCAGAAAACTCGCTCCGAGCGCACTCGCTTGTGCCAGGGCGCCTAGCGATGCACCCGCTCGCCTCTGGTGCTCGTCGGGGCGCTGCCGCTGTTGCCAAGAAGCTCACTCCGAGCGCGCCCGCTATATATTCCAGTGCACCTTGCGATGCTGCCAGGCAACTCGCCATGCGCGCGCCTGCCCTCTTTCTCTTCACCTTGCGGTGCTGGCGTTGCTGTTAGGAACCTTGGCTCCGAGCGTGCCCCCGCGCGCTCCTGGCGCGCATCGCTGTGCCAGTACTGTCAGAAGCTCATCCCCGAGGGGGAGATTCCGACAGTGCTTTCCGCGAGCGATTTTTGAGCACCGCGCTGCACTGCCGCATGGTGCGGTGCATAGGCGCCTTTCTCGCAATCCCTGGGGGAACAGAAAGGTACCGATGACGCTGCTCCCTGATCCTCCCCTGGGGCGCGTTCTGGTTCGGCTTTCGAGGAGCATGCAGCCGTGGCGGCGAGGGCCCTCCAGGACGGGCAGCGGTGTCGGTTCAGTGGAGGCCCATGCCAAGAAACACCCTGCTTGCCTCCAGGGTGCCCTGGGTTTCTTGCGTTTCGATGGTGTTGCGATGGAAAGCGTGACGTTCCCCCACCAGAAATCAGTGGACGTCCTGGGGTCTCAGGGCTGGGTTTCTTGTGGAAGGTTTCTCGTGGTCGGGCCCCTACTGTACACACAGACACACATAATCGTCGACTCCCAGGAAAATATGGAAGATATGGGAAGTGGGGGGGAAGACGAAACTCAAGAGATGCGAGAAAAGATGGGGAATCCTGGGATTTGCGCGTGTGTACTTGTGTGTCCCTGGGCCCCTTCCTTCCGCCTCCGACTCCTCCCCCCTCCGTGGCCACTTCGCCTCAAGCGGCGGCAGCCAGGGCCCAACCCGGCTGCCGCGCAGAGGCGCGGCGACAGCGCCCTCGCCGCTGGGCGCTCCTCTGCGGCTGGCCGGGAGGCGGCGAGGCGGCGCTCGCGGGCGGCCGCGTGCCGCCGACCACAGAGGGTGTGTTTACGCCAGGGTGTGGTCTGCGATCTGCGTCGTCGGGTCAAGTCGGGCATGTCCCTCTACAGGAGGGGTCGTCAAGAATAGTCAAAGAAATACTCCGGGGACGATGTTTGGACTATTTTGGGGCATTTTTGAACACACCTCTCGTCAAATTTTCATCGTTTTCCAAAATCCGCCCGTAGGAGGGCACGCCCGACCTGGTCGTTGGGGCTTGGGGGGCACCACGCGGTCCTCGTCGGGCCTCCTCGGGGCCCAGGTCCCCGCCCGCGCCCCCGGGTGCGGGTGGCATGCCGCGCCCTCTGCTCACCGCACCCTCCCGCGTCGCCGACCGTGGCGCCGCCGCGCGGCGCCCCCGTCGGGCGCCGCGGGGCCCGGCGGCCGGAGAGGTGGCGCCCGTTGGCCGGTCCGCTCGCGGCAGCGGCGGCGGCGGCGGCGTGGCGCCACCGCTGCGCGGCGCCCTCTCCGTGCGGCGCGGGGCCGGGCGGCGGCCGAGGCGCCGCGCGCCGTGCTCTCGGCGGGGCTGGCGGGATGAGGGAGTGGTCCGTGGACTACAGGCCGGCTGCCCTCAAGAGAGGCTCGTCGCCGGAGGGAGGGGCCTTCTGCTGTGGTGCGGGCGCAGTCAGGGCCCCCCCCCCCCCCCAGTGCTGGCCTGCGCGCTCGGACTCGGCCCCGATGCGGCGCACCAGAAGAGGTCACTCTTGCCCGGGGCCTCTCCTGTGTGTAGCCGATGCCTCAATGAGTACTTTGCCGCGGAGGCGAAGGTCGCCTGCGAGGTCACCGAGAGGAAGGGTCGAGTCCTCAACGCCCGGGTGCCCTTCCGGCCTGGTGAGGTCATCTTCGAAGAGAGGCCTCTGCACATCGTCACCGAGGACTCTCAGAACGAGGCGTTCAAGCTCGTGCGCAGGCTGTGCAGGCAGGATCCGGACAACTTCTTCCAGGAGCCGTTGTGGTACTGGGCGGCGGTGTGCTCGCTGACCTCCGAGCAGGTCCAGCCCGGCCCAAAGAAGGGCTCCTTGCCACGAGTGACGGCCGACCAGCAGCGGCGGCTGCTGTGCCTGTACCACGAGCCCGTGGACGAGGCCTCGGAGGCTGTGGAGCGCCTCGTCAGGGAGCTCAGGCTGAACGTCAGCGCGGTGTTGCTGGAGGAGCTGTTGCAGGCGTGGATTCTGAATTGCTTCGACCATTCCGAGGCACCTCAGGGCTACGCGGCCTACTTCGGGTCATCCTTCATGTCCCACTCCTGCCAGCCCAACGCCATTTGGCACTTCGCAGAGGGGACCAGCACTCCCGATACTTTCGTCTTGGTAGCGAGGCGAGACATAGCTTCCGGTGACGAGGTGTGCATCTCGTACGTCTCTGAGCGGGTCCTGCTCCAGTCTTCCTCCGCCAGGAAGAAGGAGCTGCAGTCCTCCAAGAAGTTCATCTGCACCTGCGAGCGTTGTGGTCCAGGCGCCGCGCTGCCTGACCAGTGCCGCGGATTCCGGTGCCCCCACTGCGGACAGGGCGTGGTGTTCCACCCGGGTCCCTTGCGCGGCGGCCTGCTCTCAGAGGGGGTGTGCCCTGCCTGTGGGCGTGCCGCTGGGAAGCTGGCCGAGTGGCTGCTGGAGGAGGAGAGCTGGCTGCACCAGCAGCTGAATGGCCTGGACGAGAGCACGGAGAAGAAGAGGATCTCGAGCGTGCTTACCGAGAAGGAGGTCCAGCTCCTGCTGGCCAGGACGGGCGACGGCGAGACCGGCTCCGTGGGCCTCCAGCACTGGCTGTGCGACAGGCTGTGGGGCCACCTGGCAGACTGGTACGACCAGACGGGCCGGAGGGAGGACGCCCGGCGCATGATGCGCCGGCGCGTCGACTACCAGCGCAGGGCCTTCCAGGGCCTCAACGGGGAGCCTCGAAGAAGAAGCAGCGGCGTGAGCATGAACTCGCGGAGCTCCGCGCGGAACTCTCGGAGCGGCGCTGGCCGCCCCTCCCCGGCGCGCGGAGCGCACCGGGGGCGGCAGCCTGCGGCGCCCCGCCAGTTGGGCCCAGCGCCGATCCAAGAGGTCCGCGCGGGGAGCTCCGAGAGCTCATGCTTGTGCGTCGTCGTCTCCTTCCTCGCAGAGCTGGCGTGGACCTTGGAGAGCCAGGCCGACATGCTGCTCAGGCACCTCGGCGTCGAGCCGCGCGGCAAGCGCCCGCCTCACCTGGACGAGGCCGCCCGCGGCCGCGCCGCGGCGCAGGCGCTGCCCCTCCTGGAGGAGGCCACGGCGACGCTGCGGCAGATGTTTGGGGAGCTCCCGGGGGCCCCCCCGGCGGTGTTGTGGCCACACCGCGCGGTGAGTCCGCGGCGACCTCGGGGTCGCCGCAGGGTTTTTTTGGGGGGGGATCCGGGCCGCGGGCTCCGGGGACGCCTCGGGCGGCTGGGGCCTCCAGGGTCCCAGAGCCGTGCGGCGGCGGACCGCGCGGCGAGGTCGTGGGGGATTCCGAGGGCACCGCGCGGTCCGTCACCACACGGTTCTGTCAGGAGGGAAAAACACACGGACACCATTGGTCGTCGATTCCCAGGAATTAAAAGATTGGAAAATGTTGGAAGTGTGGGGGGGAAAACACGCGAGTCCAGAGAAAATGAGAAAAGATGGGGGTTGCTGGGAGTTGTGTCTATTTGTTTGTGTGTCCCTGGGCCCCCTCAGAGTGGGGGTCCCGAAGGATTGGGGAAGCGTAAGACTCGAGTAAGCCGGAACTCGGGTTTGTCGAATGTTTTTGACGAGCGCGTCCTGGATTTTGACGGTCCAGTTTTCGTGGGATGTCTGCGGCGGGGGCCCACGTCAAATCTCAGACTGGGTCTCGTCGTTTTTATGATGGCCCCCGCCAGGCCAACCCGAGTCCCCCGTACCCGAGCCTTACGTCTCCCGGAAAGGAGCTGCACGAGTGCCACCGGGACGTGAGGAGGAAAGAGGGAGGAGGAAGGAGGGAGGAGGGAGGAGCAGGGAGGAGAATGAGGAGGAGGAGGAGGAGGAGGCGGAGGAGGAGGAGGAGGAGGAGGAGGAAGAGAAGATGATGATGATGATGATGATGATGATGATGATGATGATGATGATGATGATGATGATGATGATGATGATGATGATGATGATGATGATGATGATGATGATGATGATGAGGATGAGGGAGGAGGAGGAGGGGGAGGAGGAGGAGGAGGAGGGCCCATCAATTCACGCCCGAAGGAGCTGCACGAGTACCACCGGGACGTGGAGCGGAAGAGGCGGGCGGCGCGCACCGCGGGGGTTCGCGGGGGGCGAGGGGCGCGGCCCCCTCCCGGGCCCTCGAGGCCGACCAGCGGACAGCAGCGGGCGGAGGCTGTGCGCCGTGCGCGGCCTCCGGGGGCCTTTGCTGGGCCCCGGGGCCGTCAGACAACTCTTATAGCGGGCGTGGCCCTCGACAGGGGGAAACTTCAAACAATAGTAAAAAATAGTCCGGGGACGATTTCTTAACAATTTTTGCCCGTTTGGGGGGTATTTTTGACATATATATATATATATATATATATATATATATGTTTTTTCGCCCAAAGTCCTCCTGTAGGGGGACAGGCCCGACCTAAAACAACCCAGAGGAGGAACAGGTCATGGCGCCAACATCGCCGAGCGGATTTCGTTCGGAAAACAAAGGGATAGGCCCAGAGTGTCCTGGAGAATTTCGTTCCGGATTTCGAGGTGAGTTTCATGCGGATTTTTTTTTGCCAGGAATGAAGAAACATAGTCCACGCGAAATTCGCTTCGTTTTTCGCTCGCCGTTTCGGGCAACAATCCACGCAGAAATTCACGCAGAAAACCGCTGCAGCACGTCTGCAAGGCCGGTCCAATGAAACAGGTGCCCATACCGTGGAAATCCATGCCAAGAAACGCCCTGCTTGCCTGCAGGGTGCCCTGGAATTTGTCGGGTCTCCATGGTCTTGCGATGGAACGCGTGACGTTCCCACACCACAAACCAATGGACGTCCCAGGTCCTGGGGTTTCTTGTGGACGGTTTCTTGTGGTCGAGCTGTTACTGTACCGCTATCCTTCCCTCGTTTTCGACTTTTCGGGTCTCCTGGGAGACCCTCGTCGCCACCGCTGAGCTCGCCTCGAGATCCTGGTCAGTAGCGCGCCCTGGGAGATGTCCTGGGAGTAGCGGCATCGGTACCTTTGTCGTATCCTCGACAGCGCCTCAGAATGAACAGCTAGTTCTGGGGAAGGAGTCGGGACTCCTCGGGGGGCCGTCTTGAAACCATCAAGGCATCGGAATGTCTTGGCTTTCAGGAGGTGCCCCTCCCCCCCCGCCTGTTGCAGAAGGCGGCGGCGTCGGGCGGGGCCCTCCTCTGCAAAGGGCCCCCGCACATTCAAGAGGCCCTTCCTGCCCTCCAGGAGGGCCGCTGCCCTCGCCCTGGCGCCCCCCCCTGCGTTAGGGTGCAGCTCCTGGGAGGGCCGGCTCGGCATCGGCGCTGGTAGCTCTATATCCGTGGCCGGAAACCCGCCCGATCTGGCACACATCCCGCCGAGTGGCCCAGTGGCCCATGCACGGGCTCGGTTCTGGGCTCAATCTGGGCCGATCCCGCTGCGTTCGGGGGCGGCCAGGGGGGGGGATGACTAGGGGGGAGAGGTGGATATCATGGCGGGGATCATGATGATCGCTCCCCAGATTTCATGGCGCCTCTTCTCATTTCAATGCGTCCCTGGCCCCCCCCACCCGCGCGGCGCCGCGCGAGGGCGAGGCTCTCCTGCCACCTGAGCTCGGCGGCCACGGCGCCGCCGGCCCCGCCCGCGTAGATGCGGCCGCGTGGCGCAGCCCGGGCCGCGGGCCCGCGCGGGCGACCCTCGGGCGGCCCCGACGAGCACGCGAGCGGCGCGGCGTGCAGCAGCGGCGGGCCGCCGCGGGCGCCGCGGGGCCGAGGAGGGCGCTCGGCAGGCGCGGCACGAGGCGCCGCCCCCGCGTGCCCGGAGCCGCCGACGGCCGCGGCTCCGCGGGCTCGGGCGAAGCCGTGGCCGCGCGGCGGCTTGGGCTGCGGGGGCCCGCGGGCGACGGCGCTCGGCGGTCCGCGCCGAGCACCGCCTCGGCGCGGTCGGGCCTTGGCGGGGGCGCGTCGGCGCGTTCGACCTCTGGCGGGCTCCTCGGCCATGGCTGGTCGCGAGGGGGGGGGGGCGCGCCGGCACGCATCTCGGCTGCGCAGGAGGAGCGGGAGGGCGGGAGGGAGGAGGGAGGGAGGGCGGGAGGGAGGCAGAAGGGAGGAGGAGAGAGGAGGACAGTGGATGAGGGTGGGTGGAGGAAGAAGGAGGGAGGATGGAGAAGGGAGGCGGAGGAGGATGAGGAGGAGGGATGATGATGATGATGATGATGATGATGATGATGATGATGATGATGATGATGATGATGATGATGATGATGATGATGAGGATGAGGATGAGGATGAGGATGAGGATGAGGATGATGCTGATGCTGATGCTGATGCTGATGCTGATGCTGATGCTGATGCTGATGCTGCTGATGGTGATGACGATTATGATGCTGATGATGATGCTGATCTATTAATGATTTGATGATGCTGCTGATGATGACGCTTCTGCTGATGATGATGCTGCGGCTGATGATGATGTTGATGATGCTGCTGCTGATGACGATGGTGATTGTGATAGTGATGGTGATGATGATTAGGATGATGATGAGGATGATGATGATTATGATGATGCTGATTATGATGATGAAGATGAGGTTGATGATCATGATGGTGGTGATGGTGGAGATGGGGATGACGATGATGCTGATGGTGGTGGAGGTGATGCTGATGATGGTGGTGATCATGACTATGCTGATGATGATGATGCTGATGATGATGATGATGATGATGATTATGATGATGATGATGATGATGATGATGATGATGATGATGATGATGATGATGATGATGATGATGATGATAGTGATGGTGATGACGATGGTGGTGATGATGATGATGATGATGACGATTACGATGCTGCTGATGTTGGCAATGATGATGATGATGATGTTGATGATGCTGCTGATGATGAAGATGATGATGATGCAAATGGTGATGACCATGCTGATTTGGATGCCGAAGACGATGGTAATGTGTATGCTGATGCTGATGCTGCTCATGCTAATGATGATGCGGATGATGATGGTGATGATGATGATGATGATGATGATGATGATGATGATGATGATGATGCTGATGATGGTGATGATGAGAAGGAGGAGGAGGAAGAGGAGGACGAGGAGTAGGAGCAGGAGGATAAGAAGGGACGAGAAGGATGGAGGAGTGAAGGGGGAGGGAGGGAGGGAGACAGCCTGTCTGTAAGTGTCATGCCTTTCTTTTCCAAGACGCTATACGTAAGCAGTTCTGGAAACGGTAGGGCGCCGTGGCCTCCCGTGGCCGCCCGTTGCCTCCTGTTACAGTCTTACTATGGGGGTCAGTATTCGTATCGCTACGAGTACTCGCAATTGTACTGATATAGATGTTAGCACTAGTAGTCGCACCCGTGTCTCATCTCTTTGATTTCCCCAACCATCCTGTGGTGTTGGGTCCTCGTTTTGAAGAGACAGCGCCCCGCGTCCCACCTTCCTCCTCCTTCCTCCTCCCTCCTTCCTCCTTCCTCCTCCTTCTCCCCCTCCTCCTCCCCCTCCTCCTCCTCCTCCCCCTCCTTGCCTCTGCTCCCGGCACACCTCTCACACGTTTCGTAGCCCCATAGGGAGCTCCACCCAAGGCCCCAGTGGTTGCCCTCGCATGCGGTTCCCCCACCCAGGGCAGCGCTTCGTGGCCCCATAGGGAGCTCCACCGAAGGCCCCAGTGGCTGCTCTCGCATGCGGTTCCCCCGCCTGGGCAGCGTTTCGTGGCCCCATAGGAGCCCCCACCCTGGGCAGCGCTTCGTGGCCCCATAGGGAGCTCCACCGAAGGCCCCAGTGGCTGCTCTCGCATGCGTTTCCCCCACCCTGGGCAGCGTTCGTGGCCCCATAGGGAGCTCCACCGAAGGCCCCAGTGGCTGCTCTCGCATGCGTTTCCCCCACCTGGGCAGCGTTTCGTAGCCCCATAGGGAGCTCCACCGAAGGCCCCAGTGGTTGCTCTCGCATGCGTTTC